GGTGGCACCCAACTTCGTGCACAGCGTCGCCACCTTCATCGGAGACTTGACGGTCCTACCGCAGCAGAATCGGGAGCCGGCGCGCAGCTTTGTGCTCGAATACGCGGTGGAAACGGCCAGATCAGTGGCCAGAGTGCAAGGACGGGGGGGACACCGATTCACAGCCCACGAAGTGCTGCTGCGTAGGGCAGAGAACGGACCGATTGCGTTGGTGCCGCAGCTCCCCGCGCTTCTCCCTCCCGCTGCTCCTCTCAACCTCCAAGCTATTCCCCCTGTCCCGTACTAAATGCCTCCTTTCTTCTCCTACACCACCCTCCCCTACTGGCTCACGGAGGGCCCTTACCCCATGCGCGAGTTCTCGGAGTATTTGGTGGAGCTAACTAACGTGGAGCTGCTGCCCTTCGCCGACGAAGATGCGTGGGAGTTGCACCGTGCGCCGTACAAGTCGGTGGCGCTGGGGATGTTCCGGTTCTTCGTGGATCACGAAGACCACGCTATCGGGGAGCACTTCGACGTTTACTACGTCATCGCGCGGCCCAAGCCAACGGAGAAGGAAGGGACGGTGGCGCTGTAGCCCTTCGCCCAGCTCCAGACAATCGATCCGGGATTGTTGGAGCTCMTACATCTTGAGCTCCTCTCCATTGCGCAAGTGATCGCGAGCGAGGAGGAGGAGATCCAACCACGATTGTGGACGGCGACGGCCCCGCGGAGAACGTACAACGCGGTCGTCATCCCGGATTACATTGCGCGGCGCGCGGAGAGATTGGAGGACTTCCCAGAGGAAAGGCCGTTGCGTCCTCCCTCGTCGTATCCTCGACCAGCGCCACCGAAGCCCCCCAAGAAGACGCCGAAGAGGAAGAGACGCCACCCGTCGCCAGGAGCGCAAGGCAGCAGGATCGGCGGCGGCGAGGAGGTGATTCAGCCCACGCGTACGCGGATTCCTGACCCTGTGCCTGGGAGTGCGGCGACGCTCGTTAAGGAGACTATCGTGCCATCGACGCCCATTCCGCGTGTGCTCGATCTCAATCTTGATGGAGCCGGGCCATCAGCAGCAGCAGCAGCCGGAGGAGGAAGCCGAATGGGATTTCCGGATCCCATATCCAGACCCCCCGTCCTCGCGGGACCTCTCCGTTCCCGCCACCCCCCCCGGGGTGCCCCGGTCATTGACATTAGTAGTTCATATGAGCCGGACGGTCCATCCGACCGAGGTGGACTTCATGGTGGAGCCCGCCACCATCAGGCTCGAGGCCATCGTGGGGGCGCCGCGCCCTGATCCGGCGTGGGAGCCATATCTGACACCCCCTTTCCAAGGGTGTATTGCGGCGCGATTGGCTAGGACGCTCATCTACGAGACCGGGCAGCGTCCAAATGCGATGTACCACTTCCTGGTCTTCGCGGCGCAGAAGCGGGAGCGGCGGCCTTACACCAAGACTCATGTGGTGATAACGGGTCCAGGGCCCTGATCGGTGCGCAAGCGGGTGGTGCGAGTGGTAGCGGATTTGGCGCCACGTGTCCTCTCACATGTGCCGAGGGCTTTCCTTTACCCCTCATTAGTCCAGCATCACTTCCATGAGGAAGATGCGCCGACGACTCCTGCGGCAATGACCGCTTTTCTTCCACCTATTCCGCCCCCTCTCAATCCCGACATAGATCACTTCCTCTGATCACCCTCGTCTACCTCTCCCCTGTCCTCACCTTCTCCTTCTCTTCTTTTTCTTCTTCTTCTTTTCCGGATCTAAAGCTTGTGCGACGATACGCGTTGTATATATGAAAAAAAAAAAAAAAAAAAAAATTCTTTTTACTTACCGATCGGGCCAGCTGACGATGAAGGGGCCGCCCGATCGAATGTATACTATGGGAGGAGGCGATAAAGGATGCAGGATGCATCCACGTAGATTAGGAAGATGATCGGGCCAGCTGACGATGAAGAAGCCGCCCGATCATCCATGATATGATGACATCAGCAGTCGGGAGACTGCTAATTTTTCGGAACCCCCTGCGTATCACAGATGTGATAAGCTCAGATCCGTACCGCGCGGCTTGCCGTATCCCTGGGGAAAAATCCCGCAGAAGCCCCGAAGTATGGACGCGGATAGAAAGGGGTTTTTCTTTCTTTTTGCTTTTGTTTTCTTTTTGAAACGGCTTTTTCATTTTGTTTGGTTAATAACTCCCGCGGGCGAATAGCAGCCGCGGTAAGAAAACCAAGAAACGGGTGCGGTTGGGACTTTTTGAATTTTTGCGCGCACGCCCAAGCTTCGATTTCTTCGTGCGTCTCGCATCCCCGTTTCTTGCTTTGCATCCTTGCGCCATCTTCCCTCTTGCTGCGCACGTTTTCCCCATGCATGACTCTTCGTCTTCCCCTACGCCCAGCTTGATCCTTACCCCGTCTTCCTCCGCGAAGTGATTGGCTGCGTAGTTGGGATGCTCGGATCAATGGGAAGCGGGAAACCGCGCACCACTTGGACGAACACCCCAATCACGTAGCCATGCAATCCCGTGGGTCGAACCCTCTAACTCCCCACCTCTCTCTCATGTCTTGCTCATCTACACCCTGCGCTGCCCGCACCTCGCGCTGTTAACCCGCCGCCTCCCGCGCTATAAATTTGCGCAACCCTCTCCTCTCCTTCTCTTTGATCTCGGCTGCAATGTTGCGCGAGCTATGCGCGAGAGTCCGCGGCGCCGAACAGKCTCGACGAGCCCAAGGACGGGCGGAGTGACGACGTGGGGTGGACCCCGCGGTAGTCTCGGGGCGAAGCAGTCGGAGGGACTGAGCAGTGGTGGGGATTGGACGCCGGCCGCGGCAGGGCCTTGTGGCTATGGTGGTCGGTGGTCTTGGGACTGTCTCTTATACACATCTAGATGTGTATAAGAGACAGATCCCGGGGCGAAGCAGTCGGAGGGACTGAGCAGTGGTGGGGATTGGACGCCGGCCGCGGCAGGGCCTTGTGGCTATGGTGGTCGGTGGTCTTGGGAAGTTTTGAAGGCTGCGCCTGGGGGCAGCAGTTAATTGAAATTTTTGTGTACAAGAAGGACTCGCTTTTATCTCCATTGCTGCTTTGTCTATGCATGTCGTGTGTGTGAAGCCCCGAGTGATGGGAGCTGGTTATGCGCATGAGTGACGTCGAAGGTCCATGGATGATTAGATGTCCTGTCAAGGGTTGTTGATTGCATGCATGTATGTGTGTATATACTCGTCTGGGCGGGGATGGGGAAACTGAACTGGGGGACCGTCTGCTTAAGAGTATGAGTGTGTTGATCCGGTTGTTCCCCTCCCCTCCGCGGCCTTTCCTGCGCTCTCGCGCAGTCTTGGCGTAACTTTCTCTCTCTCTCTCTCTCCCTTTTCGATCGCCTTCCTTTTGAACTAACAATCATCGCCTTTAGAGCCTCTCGTCCCCGTACCGGTGATGTCAACCGCCTGCGTCCGCGCGGACGGTCGACGCCCCCGCCAAGGGGAGAAAGCTTAGATTTCGTCATCCTCCCCCTACGCACCCACTTTTGAGAGAGAAGCGTTGCGACGATTGTTGTATGGATTCTCGGATGACCGGGAACGCGGGATCTTGCCGGCGTTCATCACGTACCTCCGATCGTCTCATTTTGCTACCGACCTTCCCCATCACAGATGACGACAGCGCCTACTGCGATGCGGACGTACGGCGTGCGCTGAGGCGGACGGAGCAAGTGTGTTGGCAAGACCCGCCTCGGGCTTGTGAGATAAGGGGGAACGGGTTTGTGTTGATTGATCGCTTTGATTCCCCGACTCTAATATTGCCTTATACGGGCTTAACGGTGTTGCCCTGGTCGGCCGCTCACACCGCGTGGCGACCGCAGTGGCGACCGCAGTTTGATTGTCGCTGGTGTCGCCAGGGGGACTCGTGTTCGTGGCGACGGCTGGTCCTGGGTTACGAGGGAGCGACACGTTTCCCCGAGCTTTTTCGTAGTGGGGGGGCGCTGCCCGCGCAATTTCGAATTCAGATGCCGACGAGTCCTCCCGCCGCTTTACCCTCCCGCAAACTTTCGCGCGGGCTCTATGAGTCCGACGCCGAGGCTTGAAGGCCTCGAACCAACCACCTCTACAGCAAAAGACCCGAGGGTTCGGCCACTTCGTGAGGCCGAYGACGAGGCCTGAAGGCTTCSAACCCACCACCTATCCCCGGAACCCATGACGGCCGGAGTTTTTGCTGTCTGGCGCCATGGCCTCCTCCCCTTGATGCCTATTCCCGTCCCGATGCACGACGGCAATTCATTTTCACAGAAACCCTTCTGATTTTATCGTTTCGGAGTAATCCGACCCCCACGGGACTTCGCGACGACAGTTCGACTCCGAGAAAAACCTCGGCCAAGAAACGAGAGCCTCCCGTTCCGTCCCGGAGACTCAACCCTTACGTCCAAAAATCATCGGCCACACCCCTCCTAGAACTCTGATCGGCGACCCCGTACGGGAAGCTGCGAGGGGGCGTGAGGTTGCGTATCACATGCTGCCTATACATCTCCATACATTGATTCACAGAGCACACACAGCCTTCGCGCATATACATAGCTTGCGAATTATACATGGCCTACGGGCTACATACACAAGTTTCCACACATGGTGCTGTCTGTTCATCTTGATACATAGATACACAGAGCATACATAGCCTTCGGTCATACACATAGATTGCGAACTACACAACTGGGGGGTCTAGTCACTGGGTGGGTTCTAGTATCTGCAGTAGGTACAGGTAAGGGCCGCCAGAATCCCTACTGATATTCGGATAGAACTGTCTGGTGGCTATATAAGGCTTAGACCCTAGGGTAAGGGTAGGGGTATAAGTCGCTCAGGCCAGTCCGAGTTCCACCTGGCCTTGGGTAAGCTAGGGGAAGGACGGTAAGACTGCTTCAATGGGTGCTACCCTGTCTGAACCTAGGGCCCAGAGTCTCTTGGGGCCTGTAGTAGATTGTCTGGGCCTGGCGTCCGAAGTTCCCGATCAACAAGGCTTCCACCAGGGCTGGGAAACCTATCAGCCCTCGTGCCTATCACTGCTGCTCGGTCCAAGTTACCTGGTCATTGGTAGGGTAATGGTCCTGAGTGCTGGTCACACTGAGGTCGGATAGTGGGATAGGGGGTGCGCTAGGAGAACAAGGGGGTTGGGGGAAGTGGCAAAGGGGATCGGCTGCGTAAGGTGAAGCAATTTGGGACTGGGGTCATGATTTCATAGACAGACCAATTCGGGACGGGATCATGATTTTACGTAGACGGACCAATTGGAGTGGGACTTAAAGACCTACTGGGTAGTTGAGTGTATTGACGTGAGGATGGGATGGGAGGTGGTCTCATATTCCAGGACGCCCACGGCCTACTGCTCCAGGTGATCACTGTGCACTCAGTGACTGGCCTCTACAACACCATGGACTTTTTTTTTCTTTTAAAAGGAACCAATTGTTGTGAAAGACCCTTGCCAGGGCAGCAGAAAGACCCTAACTGGTGGCAAGACCCTTCCGTGCCCAGTTGAAAGGCCTCAACTGAGGCAGTGAACCAGTGTGGCCACCCCGCTCCCTTAGGAAGATCTGGTCCTTGTGATTAGCATAGAACTGAGGGAGGGGGGGGGTGTAAGGGGGGGTATCATGGTATAGCATTGAAGGGGGACCCCGATTGGGGAGACCAAATAGGCATATAGATGCCACACAGTTCATATATATAGGGCAATAGGCCTCTAAGACTATGATAAATGCGGTCTAGTGGGTCTGGAGTCAACTGTTAACCGAGCCAAGGGTCCTTGCTAGTGTAATGATTACGGGAAGGGGAGTAGAGGGGACAGAGGGACTGGGTACGCAGAGTCAATATCCCGCCTTGGGAGAGCAATCCTCGGCCGAGTGCACTGAACAGGGGTCTGAGGCTCACAAAGCGGGGATGGAAGTCCCTAAGGAGTCGTCTGTAGACAGTGAAGTGAAGGAGTCGTCTCTAGACAGTGAAGTGCTTAAGGGAGTTACGATGAACAGTCACCCCCAGGCTGGCTGTGCCATAGAAAACCAGGTCCTGATCCAGCCATCCACAACCCCTTCAGTAGTATGGGGTGCAGCATGTGCAATCTCTCTCTCTCTCTCTCTCTCTCTCTCTCTCTCTCTCTCTCTCTCTCTCTCTCTCT